TCCACCAATTAAGAATAAACTCTACTTGCATTCATAACATAGCACTTGATGGACAAATTCTAAGAATAAACACAATTTGGTTCAAACACGCCCACCAAGGCTCACTAAGCTCGTGCAAAAATCAATCCATCATTCAATCGACCTAATTCTCCTTATTCCTCGCCAGAGTTTCGTTAGAAGCTCGCCGGAGACTCGCCGCCGTTGACTTGGCCGGAAAAGTGTGCTCATGGAGCTCCCCAAAATCACAGCACAGGCCGATTTTTAGGAGAGGAGACTGGGTATAACGTTGGTTTTGGATTTTGCTCACCGGAAATGGGGGGAAGATCGGAAAATTGGCGGATTTTTCATTTTCCGGCGAAGATTTGAAATTTCCAACGAGATTTTGATCGTGAAGTGAAGAGTCGCCGTTCACGCCCCTTTTATATGCAGGGCTTAGAGTTTACAGACGCGTTTCCCAGTTCACGATCATAGAGACCATGAACTCTCAAACACGTCCGTGAACACTGAGTGGTTGACAGGTGGTGAACATGCATCAGTACCCAGTTCAAGGACGCGTTCGCATGTTCACAGTCTTATACGACCGTGAACTCAGCGATCCGTCCGTGAACTACAGTGAAAATAGGGCACCTATGCTAAAATTTTGACTCAACCTATTCCTTCGTGCCTCCTAATCGACCCCAACATAACCGTAAACCGCAAAAACACCACACTCCGCACGGGGACACCACTTGAACTCTTCACAAGACACTAAAACGAAAAACTAACGAAAAGAAAACAAACCTCCGTTAGGTTGCCTCCCAACAAGCGCTTGTTTATCGTCATTAGCTTGACGGTTGGGGATCGATCACGACTTCAAACGTGATGCCACCGAGAGCGGATCCACCACACTCTCGGGGAGAGGCTTGTAGCCTCCCATCTTAGGCTCCTTGAGTTGGACCTCTTGGTTGGCCAACATTGCTTCGGCCTCCCCCATCTTCCGAGCCAAAACTCCCTTCATCCTTCTTCTCCAAGCACTCATCCTCGATCCTTTGGGCTTAGGAACATTCTTAACTGTTGAAATAAAAATAAAGTTTAATTAAATAAATATCAGATAAGGCTAGAAACTATAGTGTGTTTTGTGTAGGAAAGCATCTAGAAAAGGAATTAATAATGTAGTTGGGTTGGATGAATTATTGTGATTAAAGAATTGAAAAAATTAGGAACCACAAATCTATGTGTGGAGTGCAGATTTTTTTTGTAAGTTCAAGCATATAAATAGGCTATATTATAGCCGTGTAAGGTATCAGAAAAGCAAGAAAGCCAATAAACAATAGAGCTACTTCCCCAATTCTCTATGCTTATTTCTCCATACAAAAACAATTCCTTCTCCCAAAACCGTTGCCACCATACAAAATAAACAATAAAAGATTCTCCATTTATTTACAAACGTGCCATCCAGGGTAAAGGAAATAAATATTATTTCCAACAAGGTGGTATCAGTGGCCGATTAATTCTTAAGTATGCTCTGTGGTTGCAGCGTAGTCTGAACTTCCACATCAGAAAAGAATTTCTCGTGTTTTTGTTATAACAATTTTCCCATGGCCGAAAAATCCACTTTCCCCATTCAATTTCCCCACCTTACCAAAACCAATTACAAAAATTGGTGCATTCGTATGAAAGCCTTGCTGGAATCCCAAGATGCTTGGGATATTGTTGAGAAAGGTTACGAGATTCCCGCGGAGGATTCTCGGTTATCTCCTGCTGAAAAGGAGGTATTGAGAAAAAAATAGAAAGAGTGATCAAAAGGCACTCACTCTCATTCATCATTATCTTGATGAATCGATGTTCGATCAAATAGCAGATGCTACCACAGCAAAGGAAGCATGGGAGATTCTGCAAAAGGAAATGCAAGGCGTAGAACCAGTAAAGAAGGTTCGACTTCAGACACTAAGAGAAGATATTGAGGCCATTAAAATGAAGGAAGGTGAATCTGTTTGAGATTACATCTCCTGTGTGAAGTCAGTCGTCAGCAAACTAAAGCAGTATGGGGAGAAAATTGAAGAGACCAAAGTGGTGGAGAAAATTCTACGATCGCTATTACCAAAATTTGACTACGTGGTGGTGGCCATGGAGGAAGCTAAGGATGTGTCAAAAATGACAGTGGATGAAGTTATCGGTTCATTGCAAGCACGTGAAGAAAGACTAAATAAAAGAAATGAAGAATCATTAGAACAAGTGCTGGCTACAAAAGCTACCATGGAGGAGAAAGAAGGCGCACGAGGTGGAGGTTAAAACAGAGGTCGAGGAAGAGGCAACTACAGAGGCAGAGGAAGAGGAAGAGCCCGAGGGGCATATCAAAGCAGAGATGGAGGAAATTTCACCACGAACAATTATGAAATGTCCACCAGAGGTAGAGTTCGTGGTCGTGGACGTGGAAGGGGAAATTGGAGATCGAATGAAGGTCGTGATAAATCCAACGTCAAGTGCTATAATTTCTCGAAGTATGGGCATTATGCATCAGACTGTTGGAGTCCGACTAAAGAAGTGGAGGAGACTTCAAACAATGTGCAAGAAGAAGAAGTCAAAGGCACATTGATGCTGTCACATCAAGGAGATGAGAAACCGAAAGACAACATGTGGTATCTGGATAATGCAGCAAGCAACCACATGTGCGGTAAAAGAAATATGTTTGTGGATATGGATGAATCGGTGATAGAAAATGTCGTATTTGGAGACTCCTCAAAGGTTCCTATCAAAGGCAGAGGAACTATACTCATTCGATTGAAGAATGGCTCACAACAATCTATCATTGATGTGTACTATGTCCCAGAAATGACTAGTAACATCCTAAGTTTGGGTCAGCTGATGGAGAAAGATTATGAAGTCCACATGGTGAATCGTCAACTGGAGCTGTTAAATGAGAGGAAGCAGTTGTTGGCCAGAGTACCAATGTCAAGAAACAGAATATTCACCCTTAACATTCAAACTGAAATGGCGAAGTGTTTGAAAGCATGTGTGAAGGACAATACATGGCTATGGCATATGAGGTATGGCCATCTAAATTTTGGAGGCCTGAAGTTACTCGGTCAGAAAAAGATGGTGCATGGTCTTCCTGTGTTCAATCATCCTGACCAATTGTGTTAAGGATGCTTAGTTGGGAAGCAATTCAAGGCAAGTTTCCCAAAGGAGTCCATGTCACGAGCTAAATCACCACTTGAGCTCGTCCATACAGATCTTTGTGGACCGATCACTCCAACATCGTTCGGAAATAACAAATATTTTCTAGTGTTCATCGATGACTACAGTAGAAAGACATGGGTTTACTTCTTAAAGCAGAAGTCAGATACATTTGAAGCTTTCAAGAAGTTCAAGATGCTCGTGGAGAATGAAAGTCGTCGCTACATCAAAGCAATGAGATCAGATAGAGGGGGAGAATTTATGCTTAAGAAATTCAGAAGGTTTTGTGAATATCAAGGAATTCGCAGGTTTCTCACAGTCCCAAGATCGCCACAACAGAATGGAGCCATTGAGAGGAAGAACAGAACTGCCCTCAACATGGCGAGAAGCATGATGAAGAGCAAAAACCTACCGATATTAGAAGGTCTTCTTGATGAGCTTGTAGGGCAGCACATTAACACTAGCTCCTAGGTCCACCAAGGCATTGTCTATATGATGGTTGCCAATATCAAGAGGGATAGTGAAGCTACCTGGGTCGGACCGCTTTTAGGGCAAGCGGTCAAGGAGGTAAGCCGAACTCTCCTCGCCAAGAGTCACGTTGGCGAGGCCTTCCAACTTGGGCTTCTTGGTGAGGAATCCTTTGAGGTAATTGGCATATATTGGCATTTGGGCCATGGCTTCAAGGAAGGGGATTTTGAGGTGGAGGTTGCGGAGCATTTCCATGAAACCTCCAAACTCATTCTCCAAACTCCTTGTACATCCTTGTGGGATAAGGAAGAGTTGGCATGTATCCATCCTCCGGTAATGCCTTCCTTCTCTCCCTTCTTCGGGTTGGTCTCTTCCTAGTTGGAATCTTCCTTCTCTATCACTTCTTCCGTGGCGACTTCTGGAACCACCTTCACACTTCTCACTTGAAGCGCATTCACCCCGGCATGGTCCTTGGGGTTCACCACGGTTTGGGAAGGTAAAGCTCCCTTGGGTTGCTCGTTGAGGATGCCGGCAAGGTTTCCGATTTGCACCTCTAAAATTTGGAGGCTCGCTTGATGGCTTCGAAGACTAGCCTCAACCGAGGTAAACTTGGTAGTCACCACATCCATGAATTGCTCTATCTTCTCGAACTTTTGACTACTCGTACTCACAAAGGTGTTCACTAGTCTTCAAGCTTGGATAACTTGTTGGGTTGATGTTGTTGTTGAAACCCTAGGGCACCTTGTGATTGGTACGGTTCTTGGAAGTTTGAGCCTTGGAGTTGGGGTCTTTGTTGGATGAAGGTGGGCCGAGGTTGGAAGTTCCCCATGGGGCCTTGGAAACCCGGGGGCTTCAGATTATTCGGTGATGACCAAACAAAGTTGGTGTGGTTCCTCGATCCAGGGTTATAAGTATTGTTATACGTGTTGTTGACCTTGGCATTTGCCACGAAGTTGACTTGTTCCTCCGGAGTGGTTGCCTCCTCCATTGCTTGGCACTCCGTCATCTCGTGGCTAGTGCTCGAACACTAGTCGCACGACATTACCACCAGTTTTCCTTGCCTTTTATCTTCAAGCATAACCTCAAGCAACTTATCCAACTTCGCCTCAAGCGGAGCACTCGCTCCCATGCTTCTCACTCCCATATCATTGCTCCTTCTTCCACTTCTAGTCAACCCCCGATCATATCCCCTAAGGGTCATATATTCAAGTATCCAGGTTATTTGGGGCGGAGCCATATTCATCAACTTCCCTTGACACAAGGAGTCAATGAGGATCTTATCTTCTTGCATTAGGCCTCCGTAGAAGGTTTCGTCCTCTTCTTACTCGAAATGTGTAATCATCTTTCTCCACTGTGCCATCTTCGAAGGCGGGCAATAACGAGCCATAAATTTGTTAAGGAGGTTGTCCCATGAGCTGATTGATCGAGTTGGGCGGTTGTTTAGCCACCTAAGTGCTTTCCCCAAGAGTGAGAATGCGAAAAGTCTTAGTTGCTACGCTTTGGCCGACACACTGTTGGTTTTAAAGCTCCCCGCGAGCTCCAAGAATCTCTGCACGTGCTCTCTTGGTGACTCGCTCTCAAGGCCGTGGAATAGAGCATTGCTTTGTATCATATTCACTAGAGCTGGCTTGATCTCGAAGTTATTTGCCGCCACCGGAGGATGTAGGATCGGCGATTGAATGTCCGCCGGCCTTTGGGCCATATAGTACCCCCATCGTCCTCGGGGCTTCCTCTTTCCCCGCCGCATCATTTAACTGGCGGGCTTGAGAGGCATCTTGCCTTTGGTTCCCCGCCATCTCCACTACAACGACGGGTTCAACTTCTACTTCTTCAACTTCTTCTCCACTAACACCGGGACCCAATTGTTGTCCCCTTCTTTCACTCCTTATCCTTGCCTCCGCTAGCTCTCTCTCCTGTGCTAGGAGTCGGAGATTCTGGTTTATGTCCTCATCAAGTGGTAGCAAAGGTACCGGGTTGCTCCGGGTCATGCACCACCTACACAAAATCGGAAAACACCAAGTCTAGCACAAGCAAAGAACACACACTTGCAAAACTGAAAATTAAAAGCTAGATTAACAACCAACAACTTTTTCAAGATAACAGACCGTTGTCCCCGGCAACGGCGCCAAAAACTTGAATCGCACGAAACTACACCACAGTAAAACCCCAACTAGAGCACAAGTTTCTAAACTCTAGTCGGGTGCAGTAGAGGGCAAGTATTTATATATCGACCCGGGCCGGTCCGTCAACCACTACTTCGGTTGTTGAAATCATTATCTAGCAACAAAGTTTTGGTTAAAAGATTTGCTAGTAGAAATAAAAGAAGGCAAAGTTAAATGGTTTTGGAAACTCTTTTGTGGAAGCATCAATCAGGTGTTGCTTCCCCCTAACTACTACCATGCTACGTGTATTGGAACGATTGCTTTGGGCACAGTAATCGTGAACCACAGAGGGATGCATGTATGGTCGGAGACCACAATCTTAATTGCTAGACCGAGGTAAGCATGAAAAGCCGTGTCACTCGACCCTCTCGGTTTAGACAATAGATAGTTGAGTTACTCCCTCACTCAACTCTAAGGTCGGACAACTTAATCGCGATGTTGTCAAGAAGGATAAGAATTGTGATAATGTAGAGGTTACATGACGAATGACTTATACAGATTGAATAGATAGAAAGTAACAGGGTTGTCAGTCATTTGTGTGTTTAATGTAGTAGAGTAATTAGGAGTTATTTTGTAGTATTTTATAGTGGTAGGGGTATTGAGAAAAGTTGTTATCAGCTTGGGTTTCCAAGCATATGTTGCTTGCCTCTTTCTTTTGTTTGTATTTGAGATTTCTACAGCAGATTGCATTCTTTGTATTTATTTTCTTTTTCTATCATTTTAATTAACAAAACTCTTTATGAAAAAAAAAAAAATTGGCTGGCCCATTCCATAGACTTGATTTGGACATTGTTGGTTTTGGTTTTCTCGACCAGGGATTCATCGTCTTTGGTGTCACTGTGGGTTTTGGTCCAAGGGCAATCCATATTAGGTGTTTTTTATGAAATCTCTTGGTGGCTTCAATTTTCACCATTGCGAATTGGAGCCATGTAAGCATTCATTTGGTTTTTTCATGTTCGCTCTAGGGGCATCAGGGTGCTTGACAATAATGGTCAGATTTATGACTACTTGCTTGGTGGAATGTCCATTACAATGTTCATGTTCTACTGTATCTTTTGTAATGCAATGAGATAATGATTTTCCATCAGATTATTATTGTGTTATTAACCTACCCCGGCCATCATCACAGACATGCTAATGGGTAATATCATTTAGAGTCAAAATACGTATTTCCAGGAATAGGTCCGAGCAAGGGACCAGTTAATAAGCTAGTTATTTCAAGAACGCCATTATCTTATATATAATAGGGGACTACACTTTATTGTCCCAACTTCTCTTTTACTGTTTCATTATTCGTCTTCTAGCGGAAGGAGAAAAGTAAACCTCTTATGTGAGCTCTCCCGTTAAAACACTCAGCTCCATCTCTCTCTACTGTCGTCTGCCATCCCTTCACCCGCGAATTCCTCCTCCTCCGACCGGACTCTGTCTGTCCTCTCACTCCCATTCCCCAAATCTCACCCCACTCTCACACGCCAAATTTGCACGCAATTCACTTCAACACTCCAACGAAGCCACCTACCTCTCCCCCATTCTTCTTTCCCATTCCCATTCCCATTCCCATTCCCCCATACCACCTCCAGAGTGGCAGAACCTTTTACGCCAGTGGCCTTTCATTTTCTTCATCTCTGTTGATCTTCCCCGTTTGAATCCCTAGCTGGCCGGTCGTAACTCCACTAACGTTTAGATAATGTATCCACCAAGGTTACAACAACAAGATGAGGTATTCATTTCTTTCCTTTGTTTGGTTTGGTTTGGCCAAAGTTGCTTTGGCGGGTATCCTTTCCTTTGTCTGGGTTTGTTTGTTGAGATGTGGATGAATCGACAGCGCAAGATGATAACTTCTTTATAACAGATTTCCCCTTTCTATTTTGGTCATAGTTGCTTGGACGGGGTTCCTGATCACTACCCTCCCCCCTCTTCTTTTATTCCCGATTATAGATTGGATGATGAACATGCAAGAAGTTGAATCAATTGATCCCTGTCCGTATGCAGTATAGTTTCTTCTGCTTTGATTTCAGTAGGATTAACAGTTTCTGATCTCCTGAGCATTCAGATGCATATCCAAATTTTAGTTTGCTATTAGTTGACAATAGGAGAAGGAGGAACACACCTCTCTGTCTCGCCTATGGAGACCTCTAATTTTTCCGGCCATTTTCACAAACCCAAACCTGTGACTCTCTTTTTCAGACTCCATTCTTGCAGCAATGGGACTGCCCATTGACCAGTGATTGTGTTATGCTCAAAATCCTTCTCTACCAAACTTCTTTTGTTTTCATTGTTGCTGCACTTTCTTTCTGCAGGTGCTGTAATTCTATTTATGTTGCTGCACTTTCTTTCCCTGCTGTAGCTGCAGTTAAGTTGACTACTATTTTATGAGCTTTTTAACACGTCAATTGCTTTGCATTTTTGCTTCTAAGGTTTTCTACAATTTTATAAGCCCATGGATTTAGCTTCATCTTGCAGTATGCTTTTAGTTAATAACTCAGGTCTCTGTTTCATGGTTTCATCAAATGATGAAACAATGTTTCATGGTATTTAGCATGATGCTTCTATGAACATAATTATAACAACGGGTTCGTTGGCCCGTTTGTAACTGCAGCATTCATCGTTGTCCTCTCAGCTACAAATGTACCATCGAGACCTGCTAAGGGTTCGGATAACTCTACCACTGTCGAGCTACTTGACAACCTCCACTCACCCGGCTCCACGGGGTATATGTTGACTAACCTAGCTGCGTGCACATGTGGATCATCTCAGCTTGCTTTCACCTTTCAATGTGTAGTCCTTACGAATTTTATTTCCTCCTATGTTTGACTTTATGAATGGGATAACTGCAACTTCACCTTTGTTCTCCTGAACCTGCTTTTAGTCACTGATCCTCTAATTCATTTGACGCCTGTGAATTTGTTCATGGGATTTCTGAACCTTCGCTTTCATTTAGTTTAATTTAAATTTTCCACTGCAGGGAACAACATTGCCAGCACACATCCAATAACAAGGATAAAGAAAAAGCTACTGCTGCCGGCAGAGTAGTCGAATTGCTGCCATGGTACATTTGTTTCCTTCCTTCTATCCAGCCTTTGATTCCGCTCCACTCATTTTTATCAGTTTGTTGTTCTGATCAAACTCTTATTTTGTTTCCCTCATACACTTGGTGATAATGGTGGTTCTGTCTCCACTGGGGTAGGAGAGAACTTCAGTCAGAAGCCATTGTTGCATGCAGGTTCAACGTTCACCTTCTATGTTGTCTATCAACCCGTGAGTCTCTTTCTTAGCTGTTGTCTAAACTTAGCTTTGTTCACATTTGCTAAATTATTGAACCGCTATTCCCACTTCTTACAGCCTTGGACAATGAAGATTGGGAAGTTTTAGTAGAGTGTTCGCTCCGGAGCAAGAAGAAATAATCCAAGGAGCCTGATGACCTGCCCTTCTCCCACCTGAAGACAAAGTCTTCTAAGAGCAAGCCTGTGGTGAAGAAACTCTTCAATGAATGAAAGTATACTACCTTTTGCATCCATCTTTTCCGTCTCGATCCTATTTTATGATGCCATGACAATGATCTTTTGCTGGTTGGGGCTGCCAACTGCCATAATATGAACCCTGTTTCTCATTCCATGTTGTAAACTGTCTTTTGCTTCAGGGATTGATACTTCTCTCTCATCCTCATGTAATGACTCCTCATGTGTGTTCACCATGACTATTGGCAATCTAAATGTTGAATTCATACTTCCTTTTAGGCCGGTCATACAATGTGTTTTGACCTTCTTTAAAAAATTGCAGAGTCTTTCAATTTTCAACTTTCAGTTTTCTTCTGCCATTTCAAATCTATTCGGTTGAATTTGACATCATATTTGCTCTGTAATTTAGAGTGGTTTGCTTTCGAACCCTTTGTAGTTTGTTGGACACAACTATTGTGAATAATAGGTATAAGTTCTTACAATTTACAGAAGCAAAACCCTATTTTGCTTATTTGTTTACGGCTTTTTCCCTGCAGCATTTTAAGCTTCCCAACTGCTCATTTATGTTATGAATTCTCAATTCTTTATAACCATCTCTGTGATGTTATAATGGTCCGTCTCATTTAGCTATTTCGAAACATGACAATTAACTATGGAACTCAACATGGTCTGCCAACCACACTTCCAATACTCCACTGACAAGAATATAAAGAACCGAGCTTTTCATCAACTAACTGTCCACCATATGGTCTTGCTATTGCAAATTTAGTTCTCGCGGCGTAGGCGCGGGTATTGTTTCTAGTAAGTAAAATTAGTAGTGGTGGAGGAGACAACGGTAGGAAATGGTCCAGGAGAGGGTCTGTGATAAGATGAGTTGGTAATGAGAAAAGAAATGTGGCGAGTGCTGTGGAAAAAGATTCACGTTGGTATGGTGAGAATCAACTTGCTCGCAATCAGGAAGAAACTGAGAGATGCTTGGAATCCTGTTATAACCAAACTTGAGAAAAAGTAGCGCATATACAAGCTGCAAGTACTAGTTCGTCTAGTTTGGTAGAATTTTCTTCTTTCCCGGCCCATTGAGACTCACTCTTAATTGTTCCATAACTCACAAGAGATGAGTAGAGCAACCAAAAGAGAAGCCCATTTCCAAGCGGACTTGACATCTCTGAAAAATATGCAAATCCCCCCAACCCAAAGACGTATTTCCCGTCCAAAGTTACAAGCTTGCAAGACTTATCGTCTATATAGCGTGAATCTCGATTGCACCTTCGCCATCGTCAGTTTCATGCTTGCCACTGCTCCACATCGGTTCAACTGGTGGCATGAGATCAGACTCAGCAGCAAGTTTAACCCTCTGTATGTATTCATCAAGCTCGGCTTGAACTTTATACAATGTGGACATCAGCTCTTCTTTCTCCATTTCCCACTTCTCTCTATCATTCTCGTGGTCCTGTTGGGCTTTCAGGTACCTTCGTTGAAGTCTAGTGCACTCATGACGGATCAGGTTTAGCTCATCAGCATGTCTATCGCCGGTTAAAGATGGCTCATCACACCACCGGAAGAAGCCACATTGCTGCCATGCACCAATCATATCACATGACAAAAAGGAGAAAAAAACCCAATAATCATTAACATATATATATGGTAGATGCATGCTCTACTCCAGACTAAAAGTTTCAACAAAGGGAGTGGTGAATGCATACATCGTATCTCCTTGGACAGTCATAGAACAACCGGAATGGATTCCTGGCAGTTTGAGACATACGTAGCTTCGCTGGCAATCCACAAGAACATTGTAACCCGGAATCATCGTAACCCGAATCCGAACCATGACATGAGCTGGCATCGGATCCATCATAGTCAGTCATGTTCTCAAAGATGGTCCTGCAGATTATGCAATCAATCAAGCAGGTTATCTCTGCGGTTTTAATTCATAGGGGCAGAATAGTGTTAGCTAGCTAACATGGTTTCGCCTCAATTCAGTTAGTCAAAGAGAGCTTACAAATTTTAATACTTATGTAGCATGAGAGAGACTGAGAGAAGAGAGCACAGCTCGTTGTTTTATTACCTAGTATTTTTCTATGATTATCTTTTGTAAAAAAAAAAAAAAAACACAGATCAGTAACAAAAATTACACAATTAAATTAACCATTATAAGTAGTTGAACGGCCTAGCAGAAAATGAGGTACAGAGATATTAATGATCGAACAGGAAACCAAAATCACACAAAACATGAGACATCATGGCTTAGCTGAATATTTGTGTCCAACAACCCAACCAAATAGTCAATTCATGAGGTCATCAAAGCCAAACACACTGTAGTTGAAGGGCCAATGACTCGAGCTAGAGCTAAGGTTTTTCGGGATCAAATTGCAAGCTATTTGGTTAAGGAGTTGGAGGGCTTAACCTTGGATTTGCTAGAAGGAAAATCCATCACACTATTGAGCTATGTGAATCACGAAATTGAGCTCAAAGGGAGGGAAGGAGGGTCGGCCATGGAGAAGGAGTCTCAAGGTGTGAATGGAATCAACAATGGATAAAGATCATGGTGTGAACACAAGGTGTGAAAGGAATTTCAAGTGTGAACACTAGAGTGGCGGATTTGAAGGCTAGGTTCAAGGGTAGTTGTTGACTTAGTCTTTTCCTTGTTTGTTAAGGTTTTTGTTTTCCTCGTTTCTTAAGGTTTTTGTTTTCCTTTTTCAAGTAGGATTTGGTTTTCCTTAGTTGTTTTGTGTTTAGATTCGTGGGTCTATAAAAAGGAGTCCAACCAATGTATTTTTCATTCAAGTTTCAGCAATCAAATACAAGTGTTTACAAGTTCAAGTGAACGTTTTGCTTATTCGCTCCTTTGATGATTCAGGAGGTTTGAGTGGTCTCTTATCAACTAGAGAAAGCGTCTAGTTGTGGCGAGCATCGACGATATCGGTTGGCCTCTTCCACGGGTTCGAGATTGTTTGGAAGGTTTCATATATCTTCTGGCCCTTCTCACGAGTTCGGATTTGTTTGATCGATTCCGCAAGTATCTTTATTTTCGTGTAATTCAAGAACGGAGAAAACCCCTTAAAAAGTTCGACGTGTGCAACTCTGGTTTTTTGTCCGATTTGGGAGGATTCTCGAATTAGGATCATATCAAGTGGTATCAAGAGTCCGGTTCAAACGCAGCGGAGAAGACCAAGATTCTTGGAGTTCTTGGTAGTTCGGGAAGCATTCTTAGAAATCTTGAACGTCAAGAAAGCAAATCTTGATCGCTCTTGAGAGCTTCTTATGTGGCAAGGAAGGTATCTTGAAGACAAAGCATTCGTGGGGTTCTTCTTTAACAAGAAACCATGGCAGAACAAGCACAAGATGTGGCGACACAACTTCAGCAACTCGCTGCAGAACTAGCTACGGTACTTCAAGAACAAAGGGAGACAAGGGCACAAGTTGAGGCATTGCAAAGACGTGACCAAGAGCCGCCTCAACAACGAGAACAAGAGCCACCCCAAGGCGAGTTTGCAAACCATAACCATAGGGAACGACGAGAAGAAAGGAGAATTTTTCAAGCTGTTCAACGTCTAATGTTTGAGAATGTTCGTCGACATAGGCCATTGGGAGGGCATCGTGGTGCAAGGAGAGACTTCCCCTTCTATGACGAGGAAGGGTATGAAGAATACGAGTATGATGGAGGTGCTTACCGAGATAATGATAATCTAAGAGGATTGAAGATAATTGTACCATCTTTCAAAGGGACAATTGATCCATAAGCTTATCTCAATTGGGAACGCAAGATGGAGCTGATTTTTGATAATCAAAACTACTCAGAGAAGAGGAATGTGGCGATGGCTACCATTGAGTTTACGGATTATGCCCTAGCATGGTGGGATCAATTGAGCACGAAGAGAAGAAGAGATAGGCGCAGGCCTATTGAAACATGGGATGAGTTGAAGGCAATCATGAGAGATCGATTTGTTCCAGCCTATCATCAACAGGAAATGCACCAAGCATTACAACTTCTTCGACAAGGCAACAAGAGTGTTGAGGATTACTATCGAGAGATGGAGTTGTTAATGATTCGAGCTAATGTTCGTGAAGATAGGGAAGCTACCATAGCTCGATTTCTACATGGTCTTAATCGCGTGATTCGTAATGTCGTGGAAATTCAACAATTTGTGGAGGTAGAAGACTTAGTGGCTATTTGCAGCAAGATGGAGAGGCAACAGAAGAATAGGAGGTTTATACCCTCTACAAGTACTACAAGGCCTACACCAGCACCTACAACAAACCCTAGACTGAGTGTTCCTACAAGAGAAGCACCAAAACTCGGGCCAAAGGTGGAGACTCCAAACCCTAGCACCAAACAGGGTTCACCTTCCAGTGGAATTCAATGTTTCAAGTGCCATGGACTAGGGCATATGGAAAACCAATGCCCAAACAAAAGAGCACTGATCTTATTGGAGAATGGTGAATATGTGTCCGATGGTGAGGAAGAAGAAGCACTAGAAGAGAAGGGTACATCAGATTCTCAGGTAGATGAGGCCCTTGAGATGGAGACACCCCGGGGCAGATTATGTGTAGCTCGAAGGGTATTGAGAATTCAACCAAAGGATGAGCTTGAGCAACGGGAGAACCTCTTCCATACGAGGTGTGTAGTGGATGGGAAGACCCTTTCGGTTGTGATTGATGGACGAAGCTGCACTAATGTGGTTACTGCTAGTTGTGTGAAGAAGTTGGGTTTGAAAACAACGATTCATCCAAAACCCTACACTCTTCAATGGCTCAATGAAGATGGGTCAATCAAAGTGGCTAAAAAAACCTTATTGAAGTTCTCCATTGACAAATACAAGGATGAAGTAACATGCGATGTGGTGCCAATGCAAGCGGCTCATGTTCTCTTTGGGAGGCCGTGGCAGTTTGATCGAAGTGCTCAACATGATGACGTCACCAACAAATACACGTTAAAGCACCAAGGTAAGAAGATAGTATTGAAGCCTCTATCTCCTAGAGAATTGTATGAAGATCAATTACAAATGAAACAAATTCGAGAGGAAGAGAAGAAGGCTCAATCTGCAAGGGGTGCAAAGAAGGGTTTGAGTAGCTTGGAGTCCAAGGCATTGATGCTAGCTTGACAAGGAGACATGAAGCAAGCCCTCTATGATCAAGTTCCTATGATTATTGTCCTATACAAGGGATTGCTACTCAACCAAGAGCTGATTCAAGAGGTACCACCTAGGGCACGAGTGGTACTAGAAGAGTTTGAGGATGTCTTTTCCGAAGAAGCACCAAAGGGATTACCTCCAATCCGCGGGATAGAGCATCAAATTGACTTCGTTCCTGGGGCTACCATTCCAAACAAGGCAGCCTATAGGACAAATCAAGAGGAGACAAAGGAGTTGCAAAGGCAAATTGATGAGCTTATGGAGAAAGGACATGTTCGTGAAAGCATGAGTCCTTGTGCGGTTCATGTCATACTCGTGCCTAAGAAAGACCATGCGTGGAGGATGTGTGTTGATTGCCGAGCAGTCAACCAAATAACTGTTAAGTATCGTCATCCTATTCCTAGATTAGATGACATGCTTGATGAGTTACATGGGTCTAACATGTTCTCGAAGATTGATCTAAGGTCTGGTTATCACCAAATTCGCATGAAGGAAGGAGACGGGTGGAAGATAGCATTCAAAACAAAGCATGGTCTCTTTGAATGGATGGTGATGCCATTCGGCTTAACAAATGCTCCAAGTACATTTATGAGGATGATGAATCATGTGTTGAGAGCATTCATTGGAAAATTCGTGGTGGTCTACTTTGATGACATTGTGATCTACTCAAAGAGCATGGAAGAGCACCTTGAGCACTTGAGGGACGTGTTAAATACTTTGAGGAACTCTATTCCAACCTCAAGAAGTGTACATTTTGAACCTCAAGCATGGTGTTTCTGGGTTTTGTCGTGAGTACTAATGGAGTTGAAGTCGATGAAGAGAAAGTAAAAGCGATTCAAGCATGGCCTACTCCTACCAACATGAGTGAAGTAAGAAGCTTTCATGGATTGGCTGGCTTTTATCAACGATTTGTGCCCAACTTTAGCACCATTGCGGCAAGAAGAATGTGGCATTTTATTGGAGAGAAGAGCAAGAGAAGGCATTCGAGCTCCTCAAGTACAAGCTTACTCATGCTCCTGTTGTGATCCTACCAGATTTTAACAAGATGTTTGAAGTGGAGTGTGATGCATCAGGATTTGGGAATTGGCGCTGTATTGATGCAAGAGAAGAGGCCCATTGCATATTTCAGCGAGAAGTTGAGCGGAGCTACGCTTAATTACCCGACTTATGATAAAGAGCTTTATGCGCTTGTTCGAGATTTGGAGACTTGGTAACACTACTTGTGGCTAAAGGAATTCGTCATACATACTAATCATGAGTCTCTCAAGTATTTGAAGGCCCAACACAATTTGAACAAGAGGCATGCTCGTTGGGTGGAGTTCATTGAATCATTCCCTTATGTGATCAAGTACAAGCAAGGCAAGGAGAACGTAGTTACTGATGCATTATCGCAAAAATACACGTTCATCACTACCATGGATGCAATATACCTTGGATTTGAGCAAATCAAGAGCATCTATGAGGAGGATTCTGATTTTCGAGAGATTTACAAGCTTTGTGAGAAGCATGGAGAAGGGAAGTACTATCGACATGAGGGCTACTTGTTTCGTGGTAATCAACTTTGCATACCACGTACTTCACTTCGAGAATTGCTACTACGAGAAGCTCATGGAGGAGGATTGATGGCACACTTTGGTGTAGCCAAGACTATGAGTTGCTTACAAGAGCATTTCTATTGGCCTCATATGAAAAGCGATGTGGAGAGCTTATGTGCTAGATGTGTGGAGTGCAAGCAAGCTAAATCGAAGGTGCAATCGTCTGGATTGTACACTCCACTACCCATTCCCTTGTTACCGTGGGTTGATATATCTATGGACTTCGTATTGGGGCTGCCAAGGACGAAGAGAGGTCGAGATTCTATCTTTGTGGTGGTGGATCGATTCTCAAAGATGGCACATTTCATTCCATTCCATAAAACTGACGATGCGGTTAATGTGGCGGATCTATTCTTCAAAGAGGTGGTGCGAGTACATGGGATGCCACGCACCATTGTTTCTGATCGAGATGCTAAGTTCTTGAGCTACTTTTGGAAGACGTTGTGGAGCAAGCTTGGAACGAAGCTCTTGTTTTCGACTACTTGTCAACCTCAAACGAATGGGAAAACTGAAGTGGTGAATCGTACTCTATCTCAAATGCTTAGAGCCATCATCAAGAGCAACATCAAGACATGGGAGGACTGCCTACCTCACGTGGAGTTTGCTTACAATAGAGCCGTGCATTCGACAACAAAGTATTCTTCCATTCGAGATTGTGTATGGGTTCAACCCTCTTACCGCATTGGATTTGACACCTTTACCTTTGAAGGAGCAAATAAACATGGATGGAGCTAAGAAAGCGGAGTATGTGAAGAATCTCCATGAGAAGGCTCGGCTAAATATTGAAAGAAGGACGGAGCAGCTCTTGAAGAACGTCAACAAGCATAGAAAGGCTCAAAATTTTGAAGTAGGAGATTGGGTGTGGGTGCATATGAGGAAGGAAAGGTTCCCACATCAAAGGAGATCCAAGTTGCTGCCCAGAAGTGAAGGTCCCTTTCAA